AAAGAGAGAAGAAGAAAAAGAAAAAATAGAGAGAGAGAGAGAGAGAGAGAGAAAAGAAGAAAGACAGTTCTAAGACAGTGCACACACGGTGTGTTAATTATTTTCGCTTTCTGGAAGAAAAAATGTTCGATTAATGTGAAATATTCTACGCAGATCTATCTACGGTTCTTCGTGTATATGTACACGACCTATTTTACGCGTATTTCACTCGTCGTACTCGCACTGTGTTTTGTTTGTTCACTGTGGTGGCAGCGAAGATGGGGAGAGCAGTAGTCGCTGAAATTATATATCCGTCTGCTCGATTCGCGCTGGATGTTATTCCAAATGAAATGAAATATGAGCGTAGAGCTAACACTATCCCTTATCGTTCTCGATCGATTGTAATGTACTGTTCGATCGCGTACACACGATGCTCGTTAAAACACACGTGTGTATAGTTTCCTCTCGTAAGTTGTACCTAACAATCGAGTCGACCGATTGCAAGATCTTGCGGTTTGTCCGCCCTCGTAATTGCCCCTTCGTTGGCGATCGAATTGCTCGAATAGTCGGCTATATTTTATGACACGACAGAGACACCTAAATGATGACTGACAGCGCTCGTTTCACCAACACCAATGACGCGTGCAAGTAACTCCTCGATCCTGAAGCATAGACCATTCGCCTTCTTCGATACCGAACGAATCGAGTCGAGGTGACCACCTACTGGCTATTCGTTTCCTAATGGCTTACCTATCGTCCAGTTGCCGTTAATGCTCGTTGTTGTTGCAAATTTATTCGTCCTACGTACGATAAATATTCGATCCTTCGAATCCTTCGAAGTGGAAGAGGCAATCTTGACAACAATCATTTCATGAGAAAGTTGCGTGCAGAGGATATTTGGATCTCATCGCCGAACGATCTCGATGGAATCAAGTCAGAAAATACGGTCGATCAACTTTCAACGACTGGTAAGTTCAGCCTCGATGGTTCATTCGACGAGATCCATAGTTCAACGGGGGATGACAGAAATTATTTAGTTTAGATCAGATCTTTGCCAGGTCCCGGTCGAATTGATATCGTACGTAAAACTCACAGAAAAAAGAGTGAAAAAAATACAGAAAAAGAACGTTACGGAAGCGATTAAAGGTGGCTTACATCGATTAGGTGTAGAGCACAGATACGGTACTGTACAATATACAGTTAATACGTTCATGTACTATAGATATAGATATAGATGTATAGATATAATCCATATAATATGTATATATAGCGGAGTGGAGCGTAGTGAAAGACATAGGCGAGGCAAAGCTTCATCCTTTTTTTTATTTTTTTCTTTTTTTTTTTCTTTTTCTTTCCGATTCAAGAGACTGCGAACCCTTCTCCAGTGATTCCGCCATCGTTAACGCGTCAGCACGAAACGAATCCACGCTACCTCCGAGACCAAAGGACCAAATTCCTCGAACGAACTATACGTGCTTTATTTTGGATAGTCTTTTTTAACTTCTTACCAGTTTCTAGACTCTACGTTCGTTAAAGCACGAATACTTTGCGGGTGAAAAGAATACTTTACGAGAACAGTTTGTCTGTATTCTTTGACTACGTCCCTTCGTTCTTAACAATTCGCAATTCTAATTAATTAGACTATTAAATATTATAAAAAGTTCAACAGGAATAATTAGAATTTTATATTGTGTTCATCACTGTCATCAATTATATTGTAACCCTTTATTATTATCTATAATAATTTAAAGTTAATATCACGCTTAAATTCGAAATTTTTATTAAACTTCTTCTCCATTAATACTTTTTAAAGTCAAGAATATTTCCACTTCACGGCTGAATAATTTATTGTTATGAAAAGAAAAAAAATTCCTATTAATTTGTTAATATTATTTCACTAAGAAGCTTGGATCGAGGAACAGTTGTTGCTCTTGTTAATAATCGTTAAGACAGAAACAGGATTAATACTGAAAGAACACGAGGATTCAAAGCCAAAGAAATACGCAGAAGATTCGTAAAAATAAGGGTAACATATTCCTGGAATTTATTTCGAGCGAATAACGTTCATCTCAAGTGTTACTCGCCTGATTATTATTCTGATTATAAGTGTTAGAAAGAATATTGTATAGTATCAAGGGTGGCAAAGTCCTATGAAGGTCACGTTTAAATTTTTTTAAATCCTTATATCTTTTATTATATATTCTCATCAGCTAATATCGAGACTGCTCATGCATGTATTTTTCATATTGTTTCAAATTAACTTTCAGTGGTTAGTTTTAAGGTTTGTCGACGTATAGAGAAGAGTAGAACTCACCTATTAATCCTGTATATTTCTAATAGCCTTGATACCCCTTACATTCTCAAAACGTAAGGAAAATACCACGCTCTATTGCCAAGTCGAAGTCTTACTTCGATAATGTTTAAATAATAGAATCGCGTCAGATCGCGACGTACAAGTGAAACGAGCATTTGCATTTGACAGACTAAAGGTATCTATCTTCTCGATATTTCTAATATTTACACAGACAATCAGACGAGTACACTTATTATTCAGAAAAGAAAAAAAAAAATGAATGTATCCTGACTGCTCGTTAAGGAAAATGATTAGAAATACAATCGAATTCGGCAAGCAATTAAACTGAAATCGAATAATGACGAATAAGTTGTCGTATTTTAGTGATTTTGTTAATGGATGAACACGCAAGGAATGTACAACTATGCACAGAAAACGAGCGGAACCACAGAACTTCTGTCTCTTGAATCAGATATGCAGGTATCTGTTGGATGTTGGATTGGTCATGGACCGACTTACTCAGTGGCTTTGGCAAAGGGCATTCCAATGAAGGTAGGGCTCAGTGTTTCGGTGTACATCTCCATTCCAGTTCCACGCAGGTAGTCATTCTGCCAAGCCTGCATATCGGGTGACTGGTACCAATCAACCAACCATTTCTAAATTACACACGCTCCTATGCATGTACGGATTCGCGCGTTTGCTCACAGTGACACGTCCGTTCGATATATCTCGACATATATATACATACATATATACATATATATATATATATATATATATATATATCTTTCATCCAATTTGCATACGCGAATTTTGCGTACTCGTAATGAAGTAGTAAAACTGTGTGTATTCAAAAGTGAAATAGAAAGGCGAGAGAGTATATCTCGCTGTTGTTTGTAATTTTAAAGGAGAGAAAGTGAACTCACTGTGAGCAGTTAAACAGTGAAAAGAAACCTAAGGAACCTTGTTCACACATGCATAGATGAAAAGATCGGCAGATATTTCTCAGCCTGTCGTCCGTAGAACGACATTCTACTGACCGTCTTGAAGGAACGCATGGCGAAGAGGTTGGCCATCATCGTGCTGAAACCCGGCGCCAGACAGGACTGCGCGATGAAACCCAGCTTCAGCTCGGCCAGGCAGATCACGTCGTCGCCCTGCTTCCAGTCCCATGATGGAATGTTTAATAAGTAGGCCTGCGAAAGGGGATTACGCACGTTATGCCAATGTAACACTTTCAGTTAAGAGTTTGAGGATTTAATTCGCGTTAAATGATCTGAATGAAGTTTGAACTTGTGAGAAATTTCGTATCAATTGTTGAGTATATTTCGGAAATAATAAAAATTCATCAGATATACACGCAGTAACGGTGTGCCCATCGGATGATGCCAGAATAACGTAAGTGTGTTTCAAGCAGATCACACTAGAAAAAAATATCAATAATCACTCGATGCAAGAAACGTTGCGCCAGAGCTAGACCTCTCGTGAATACCTCGACCTTTCTGGTCGTATCACGCCCCACCCACCAGAGGGTGACGAGCTGGATAAATTGCACCGTCGGCTTTTAATCGGTTTCATTCAGAAAATGAAAAGGAGAAAAGAATGGAGGCTAACAGTCTCGATTCTCTTCACCTGGCGGAATTTGATTTTCCAACATTTTCTCTTGTCAATGTTGGACAAAGATAAATATAAGTATTGAATAATCTGGACGCAAGAGTGTGAAACACTTTCTCGTTTCATTAAAAAAAAA